ACAGGAAAACAGAAAAACAAACAACACGGCAGACAAACATCACAATATAAGAAAATATTAAAGTGGGTTCAGTTTAATGTGGATTTAAGCCACCTCTTGTTATTTTTCTCTTTAGGCAGGACGCCAGGTTTGTGACTGTGTTAACACTGCAGAAGTAATTTGTCAAAGGCTCTTGTGTAAACCATACGTTTATAAATCTTAATCAATTCTTTGCAGGTACATAATAGCTATTGTTAATGTTGCAGTCATTAGACAACAGCAATGCCTAAGGAAAAAGGATTCAGAGAGATAAAAAGAGCCGAGGAAGAGGATGAACTTTGTGAACCTGTGCTGCTCTATGCATCAGCACACCCAAAAATATGAGCTGCTGTGAACATAAATTGGGCACGCCACGATGTTGAATAAAGATGTTGCCTAAATACTGTCTGCAAAGATGTGAAATGAAGAGGACGGAGGAGTGAGTAGGTGTGTGTGTCTGTGTGGAGGACATGCTTTAGTCATTAGGAGCTAGTGTGTCAGGTAAGCTCTTATTCTGAGCTTTGTAATTGGATGGTGGGGAGCAGGTGCTGGAGAATCAGCAGCAGAAAAGGAAAGGTTACTCCAACCACTGAAAGAGAGGAGAGAGGAGAATAAACGCGGCCCCTCGTTATTCTCTGCTCAGGGGAAAAATGAGGAAGCTGTTTCCAAGGTTATGTGGTGGTGGAGAACAGAGGATGTATCCACAGAGAAGTACGCCCACCCAGCGGGGCACACACAGTATCAAGAACATACATACATGCCGGCAGAAAAGCCACAAAGATGACAAAGACACGCCATCTACATAATGTGTGTGTACATAATATCAAGGATATGGCATGCATAGATGCACAGATGTAGGCTTATGCACACTCACACACACACACCTAAAATACACTTACACATGCAAACACTAGACACAATGTGAAAGTACACAAGCTCACTTAGTCAAACACAGAGGAACATTTGACAGATCTGTTTACGTCGACAATCACAAAAACACAAGAGATTTTTTTAAAAATCCTTAAACACACACACATCAATACAAGCACACACACATAGGCTACTGTATGTATACACACACCTAAGCTTGCATTGTGGTTGAGAAACTTATGGGCATCTGCCAGCGTGCTTCAAGTGCTCATTCTCTGGGGCCTCAACCTTTCTTTTTCAGCAGCAACACTGCAATTTGGGTGTGTCGTTGGGCCAGAGATAAGTATAGGCTGGCTAATATGCACTTAGGACCCAGGGAGAAATACTTAGGGCTAAATGTTTAATTTGTGTTTGTACAACACATGTCCAATTTGGGGGCTGGTGTCTTTTTCAAAGAGCCCGACAACAAATAATTAGGACTCTCCGGATCGGCCACAGGCTTAAAATGGTAGAGCGACTGTCTTCCGGTGAAGGTGAAAGACATCTTCCAAAAAAAAACATGTGGAAACACTTGAATCTGCAGATTGGCATTTGGCTAAATATACAGGGTAAATAAAATAATATTGCTAAAGGGGTTAAAGGTGATGACACATCCTGAAACTTCTTGTTGTGAATCTCTGATAAATGGCAAACTTCTCAATCACAATCTCAAAATTCAGAGCAGTCCTCTACATCCTCCGTTCAATCTATCCCTTCATCTCACTCTCTGTTTCTCTGAGCCATCAAATCTCTTAATCTTTAGTCTTTCCTGCTCCTTGTACCCTATCTCTGCCACTTAAGTTCATCTGTGCCACACCAGAGGAAAAGGCCCCTCAGAATCTAAAGAAATATATGTGGCATATTAGAATAATGTGTGAGCGATGGATAGATTTGTAAGTATGAGAACTGGACCCTGAGGTTGGCCTTGCATTATCATTAACACCAGCGTGCACATTTTCAGGACTTAACATTGGAGGCAAAAAGAAATGGAAATGGATATTTTCAGAGTGGAATTTTGTTTAAAATAAATATTTTGTAGTGATTTTTAACAACAGCTAAACTTATGTTGATGCTGGTAAACAACATGAGAAACATGAGAGAGCGAGAGAGATGTAATCAGAAAATGTAATTGTCTAGGCTATGTCAAATCAGTAAATAAGAAAATTAAATAAAATCATTATCCATGAGGCTACAGGCCCATATATTAAAATGCATTTAATTTTAAATTGAGCAAATGAATCTGAAGGATTAAATAAAATGCACAAATGTATCCTGAGAAATGAAAATGTTTACCAAGAGAAGTGACTTCATCTGGTAAATTATTTACATTTATTTAATATCATAAGTGGAGATTCATTCAAATTTGCCACTGAAAAGAGGGGCTTTTTACAAGCCCTTTTTACAAAGGGCTCATAATAGTAATTTTATGTTGCTGACAGATTCCTAATGGACCACACAGTGGCGGCCGCTGTAGTCAGGCTTGTCCGCCTGTTGTCAGCGCGGATCCCCACAGAGAAGAAAAAAGAAAAAAGCTGCAGGTCTCGCTTAGACAGCGGAGAGCGCATAACCATGCAGCCCGGGACAATGTGCTGAATTGGCAGCCTATATATAAGTCTGCCATTTGAACACTCTAATGCCACTTTACCTTATGAGGGAACTTCAACCCGCAGCACCTGCTCAAAACAAAATGCCATAGGAGATCAACTTCAGCGACGCCCCTGCTCGGATTGTTTTTCAGACAGACACTCTCACTTACAAGAGAGGGGGTAGTGGTCTATAAATTGTTCCGCCGGAGTCCAAACAATTAAACAACTTGTTGGAAATTGTGATTTACTGCGCAGGCCGGTGTGGGCAGGTCCAAACTGGCAACTGGAGGATCTGTCAAGCCGGACAATTATAAATCTGAATAGAAGAGTGATTTCATGTACAAACAAAAATGTGTATGTGTAAAACAATTAAAGATTGTGGTGGGAAATTGCGCTTTCTCGATGAACTCTAAATATGACAAGTGATTAAGATATAGGCTAATAGCTCTGAGTTGTTTAAAATGCTTCACAAATCAGATTATCAATTGCCCGGACTTTGCATTTCCTCTTTAGCGGTTTTTCAAACTCATTTTTGTAAAGCATGTGTGATCTCTCTAGCTCTCTCTCTCTCTCTGTGTGTTTCTCTTAAAGCCCCTTATCTGCATGCGAGCAGCGGCTTATCTGAGAGGTGTAGTGTGGCTCTAAATATGGGGAACACCCTGAAGTGACTCTATCAGTGTTTTCCAGGCCGTTGTCCTGCGTCTTGTCCTCCTCTACCCCCTGTCACATCCTCACCGTGAACTCAGGGCTTGAACATTCACGCAGGAGACAGACCCGGCTGATTGTCCGAGCTGCAGACTCCTCACTCCGATATAGAAACGGTCCCCATGCATGGCTCATGTTCACGCACCCTAACCCACAATTGACTTCATAGAAAACCTACGCTGTCGCTTTATGGAAGTGCACAACTGGCAAGTGAAATTGATATATTTTAACAGCCAGAAAGTTAAGACGCACGGCCCAAACTTTTAACGATGTAACATAAAAAAAGACATTGATCGCACTGAAAATCATGTAGAAATGAAGCAAAAAGAAACTTACAGACTAATTTCTCAACTCTGTCGCCGCGCGGGGACACAGTCCAGTTTTCCCCCGGTATTGTTTCCCAATGGATCCGTGTTAGGACTCCGAGTCTATTTTAATTTATGACTCACGCATTCTTCTAGGGTCAGTCCCCGTGACCTCCGGGGGAAAGTTAACTTGGGCCCTAAAGGCGCCCGTCTATAGCCCGCTTTTCTCTCCTATACAGTCTATTTCTCGCAACTGTATTCCAGTACATGTGGGGGAAGCACAGGATACCACAGATTTCGCTGCGGGCTGAAATGTGCGTCTGTGGAGGCGCAGCGGAGACGGGGACGAGCACGAGGACCACAGCCTGTCCGGCACAGCGCGAGGCGTTCACGATTATGGACAGAAGGGTACCGCTGTGTGGCCGAACAAGAAACTACTAGAAGCATCATCCCCCAGACTCCAGTGGGTCTGAATGGGATGACTTTCTGAGCCCTATAGGTTTATTTGAACTGAATTCTATGAAGGTGCTTTAAATTTTAAGTTCAGTGGCTCTTTTTTAATTTGCTAGCGGTTTAATGCAAGACGTTTGTTGCTTTAAATTCTTTCTAAATGTCCCTGGAGTCTATAGAACCATTCTGGTTACACAGAACCGCTTAACCATTTCTGTTAACAGTGCATGACAGGGATGTAGTGGGAGATGGACACACTTAAACTGAAGTTATAGACTATATTTTTCTTGCACAATATAGTTGCATCTTTTATGGCTGAAATCAACCTTGAATATTTCATCGTGTGTATTGAAGTCCAATTTCTGCAATAAGTATGGTTTGTAGAATCACATTTTATTTTATCTTACAGCACCCCCTCATCAGCTCTAAGATGAATGGATGAAAGTGATGCACAATCACAGCTATTTAAAAAGTTTTTTTTTATAGGCTAAATATGTCGCTCAGTTTGAGGCTCATCTAACAACCACACGGGTTTGGCTTCTTATAAGCTTAATACTGGTTGATACAAGGGGAAATATAATATATATATAATATTTCTAATTTGCATGCATGTCATAGAGTACAACTAATACGTAAATAAAAATAATTGCCAATAAACTCGTGATAGTGGTTACTATAGTCTAATTTGTTATCATAAACATAAGTAGGCCTAGGCTACTTACTAATGAGTTTTTGAGCATTGGTCTTATTTTAAGTCAGTTCAAAACTAGCCTACAGAATGATTTAGTTAATAGCGAACTTTTTTTTAAATGTTCGCAGGCCACGTAGGGTCGACTGATAGTCTAATCACGGTTCAACTGCAGGTTTAAAGACCCTGATGTAACCTGAATCCGCTGCTGTCGTCGCTGTTTGTTGTGAAGCAGAGATAACCGGAGTGCGCACCGACTTTTAAAAACAACCAGTCCAGAGGACACGCCGAGTGACGGTCCCGGTGCTGTCTACACTGATGCAACAGGGCTTCTCTTACCTGGATTCACTTCTTCGTCATTCGCTGCGTGTTTCTGGCAAACTTGAAGATTGTTGTGGGCGATGGTCTTGAGTTTCAGCGTTGAGACCAAACAAGAGGAGTCAGTTCAAACAGCCTTCAAATCCCGTGCGTAAAGTCATCATCGCTGGAGCGTGTCGGGGACTTTGGTAACTCCTCTGTTTGCGCGCCGACGATCAGAAAGTAAAATAAAACACTTTAGCGTCGTTGTCAGGGGTGATACTGCGCCAGAGGAGATGTCATTCGGCGGATTTGTTTCAAAGTATTTTAAGTTATTTCCCGTCCGGCACTATGTGGAGGTTAAGTGAGAGTGCAGGGCAGTGTCGGGTAAAGAGGCAGAGGCAGGATAACCCCTCCTCTCTTTTCCTCTCTCTCCCCCTCTCTCTCACACAAACGCTGTTTATCTGTCTCCATGTGTCTCTGTCTCACTTTCTTTATGTGAATTGTTAAGATAAAAAAACAGTTTACATTTCCCTTTTCTTCCCTGTCCCTCATTTTAACTTTTCCCGCTCATCTCTGTCCCCTTTTCTCTGTGTGTATGCGGTATATGCGCGCGCGTGTGCACGCGCGTACTGGTCACCTGCTCTAGTGACCACTTTGAATACAAACTGAGTGAATTATTGCTTTTATTGCTCTTATTTAACTGCGGCCACCTTTTTCTTACAAACATTTTCTATGTCTCAGAAATCACCACAAATTGAAACCCCACAAAGACGTCGGCATGTTTGTCTGTGTTTGTGAACAGTTCAAGCAAATAAATGTAAATTTAAAAAATCTCTAATGTTTTGTAAACAAGGCCTACATGTAATTAGGAAATGTCTCACCAGTGGTCGTTTAACATTGAAAAAAAGAACACATGTTTACAGTCTAATTTGGGGATACAATTTAAGATCAAGTCTGTGATTAATTGATCTTTTTTTTTCGAAAATGAACAGAAATTGTAAAGTCTTGAAAGTTTTTATTTTTTTTATTTTGCTCAAGCAAAAAGCTTATTGAAAATATTACAGGAAAGTGTCTGTCTGATTAATTAAACAGAAAGCGTTAAGCTTGTTAAAAGGGACTTCCAAACCAAAAGCGTCTCATTTAATGTCTCTGTGATTGCGGGTTGCAGAAATTGAGTTTTAGTGTTCTGTGAGCGCCTCTGGGCTGTTTCTTTATTATGCTTACTCTTACGCCACCTTTTGGCGGTTTTAATGCATTGAGGATTAATTTTACACAGTAGGCCTACATGTCCATGACCCCACAATGTGAAGGCTTTTGGAAACAGATACCTAAAGGCAAAGAGAAGGGGCTATAGAAAAATAAAATCATCAATCAGACATCAGTTGACTGGGAGGCTGCTGGGGTCCAACTGGACTCTAACTGGACTTACAATTAGGCCTACGCTACAGTCTCTGTAACTGCATTTTAAAGTGCAATACATTATCTTAATCTATAACGTAATTACATTAATTTTGGAAACCTTATAGTAATTTGCAGGGTGTATGCATACCCATGTTTAAAGGGCATACTTTTATACTTTTCACCCATATTTTAGTAGCCTACTTGTGGTTTGTTTGTTTGTTTGTTTGTTTGTTTCAGTATTCTATTGTGGTTCGTCCGTCCATGCACTGTTTCTCCCTTGGATAAATAAATGATCTATCTATCTATCTATCTATCTCAGCCCACTTTTAAATGTATCTTGACACTGACAAGAAAAGTCAAACATTAGCCCAATAAAGCATTTTATATGCCAATTAACAACCGACTTGCTGAATAACACAATTATATCTACTTGTAAAGATACAACAATACATGTAAATAAAAATATCCACTAGTTTGTGGTTTGCTTATGATAGTTCTGAGGACTTCAAATTTTGTCAGGCCTATTTTCAGATCTAGCCAAAATTGTAACCAGTATTTATCCATCAGTTCATTACACCTATCCTCACGTTCAAAATGCTATTTACAGGTGCATCTCAGAAAATTAGATTCATTACACATAAAGATAATTAGGGGAGACTGGGTATGGTTGTAACATGAGGAGAGTTGTAACAACACCAATTCCACCAATGGAACAAGACTGTAATGGACTTGGACATTTGAGTTTTGTGCATTTCCTTTTCAATATTACTACTCATCAGTCACCATGTTGTAGAAATCACAAGCATTTTACTGATTACAGCTGATGGTATCAACTGTTCTCTCCTCAGACAGACGTTTTTCTTTATTACGCTTTTTGATTGTTAAATGCAGTTGCAGGCGAACGGTCTCAAGGTTTATATCATCTCATTTAAATGAACTGATTGGTATAAGAGTTGGTTGGGTTGACCTCGCTCTTCATAGGTGACTATGTTTAAATACTGTTAGAACATGTTAAATTATCATAAATATGGTCTCACTTTGGCACTTGTGTAGTCTGAGATAAATGTTTTTATTGGCTTTTAGGCTTGTTGCGTCAATTACAAGTGTATCTGAAGGAGACGAAGGCTGTGAGTTGAGGTACTTACAATAAATTCTTGAATACGTGAATTGTAAGTTCATTCATTGTACTCTTAAGAAACTGGTGAACTTGCCATTATTAGTTGAGATAGGGGATGGAAATTAAAAACACAAGTCTACTTAATTTGAAATTATAAGTTCAATTGCTGCCTTAAAAACATGAGTTAACCTAACTTCAAAAGGCAATTGGTATGAATATAGTCAATTATCTTAACTTAAAAATGTGAGTTGAAAGGGTATAGACTTGCGTGTTTGTTTGACAAAAAAGAGTAAGTTTCATTGACTAGACAATGTAATACAGATAGTTGGTTTAACTCACAGTATCAAGTTGAAACAATAAATGATCATTCATTAAACAACTTCCTTAACTTAACTTACAGAGTTGAAATAGCTTAGATTTGTATGTTTGTTTGACAAAAGAAAGCAAGTTTCTTTGAATGAACAATGTAATATAGGTAGTTGGTTTAACTCACTGTATCAAGTTGAAACAATAAATGATCATTAATTAACAACTTGCGGAAGGTAACACCATGAGTTAAAATAAAGCTTTTGTTAAAGTTGAGTTTACTCACATTTTTAAGGCAGCAATTGAACTTAAGTTTTTAAGTTAAACTACCTTGATAATTTTTACAGTGTAATCATTTCAGTATTTACCAACTTACTCCCTGATCAGGCATGGTGGTTATCAAGTCTGGAAACAGGAACATTCAGAATATATAGAGACAAAAATGATTTTGAGGTAAGAAAGTAAGTTTTTTGACCAAGACGATATTTTGTTTATTATCTATACTATTGTAGATAAAACTGTATGACTTGTATTAGATTGAAATGTAGTTTCTTAGGCAACATGTGATGCATTCTTTACTTTCTAATTTCAAACCACTATGCTAATACAACTAGCTAAACATTGGCAGACAGGGGTGGGGTGGGTTGTAATACTTCTTTAAAAAGTGCTATACTTACAAATAGCGACTTTCTTGGTTTTAATATTTTTACTGCAGTCTGGGCCCACCAAGCCTGCACACCAGGGTTACCAGCATTCATTTGTCAGCACTGTGACCAGTACTTCCCATTCACATGTTGTTCACATGTTGGCGTATGTATTGGCACTTGATCTTTTCCATTCTCCGTCTCCGCCGGTTGAGGGCAGAGAAGTGTACGGGCAGCTTGTGAGAAATTCCAGTGCGCAAGAAAATGTCTCGATATGCCAAAGAGTAAAATATAGAAGTGCTTGTGCTGCGTACTGGTGGGTACCGGCCAACGTCAAGCTCTGACTGTGACTCTGATTGGGAATATACACACACTGACACACACAGACACACTAAAAAAACAAAAAACAAACACACAAAAATTTTTTACATACACATACTGTCCATGCGCGCGAGTCATCAGACATAGTCTTTTACAGTGAGAGAGAAACATTGTTCTTTTACTTCACTATACCTCTTTTTGAAGAATATTATATAATGTGGCATCCATTTTTGCTTCTTTTGTCATCATTTTGACATCAACTCACGAGGTCTGTGATATTCCCATAAAGGACTGAATTGGTGCCATTTTTAGTAAAAAAAAAAGAATGTGAGTACTTTGTATAAAAGTTTGAGAACTCTAGCTACAAAATTCAGTGAGTTACAGTTGCTGAAGCAAAAAGCAACATCTATACCCGTTCTCCCCTATTTCAGGCAATTTTTTGTTTTAATGGTGATGATTGCATCTTAGAGCTCATGAAAACCAAAAACACATAACATATTAGAACAAATAATGTATAACACAGAAATGTCAATGATTGGAAACCGGTTCATTTATGTAGGCTGCTTAGTACTTGGTCATGGATCTTCTTGCACAAATGACTGCATCATTGTGGCGTGGCGTGGAGGCAATCAGCCTGTGGCACTGCTGAGTGGTTACTCGTCTGTATTGTATCAAAAACATATGGATTTTTGATTTCCATTAGCAGCACGTAATCATCAAGATTAAAACAAAAAAGGCTTGAAAAATTCACTCTATGTGTAATGAATCTAGAATATATGAAAGTTTCACTTTTTGACCTAAATTGGGATAAAAAATAAACAATATCCACGATATTCTAATTTTCTGAAATGCACCTGTAATTCTGTTGGTGGTAGTGTTACTAACTGTTACAGTTTTTCTCACTTGCTTTGGTACATTTCTCGAATCATCCCTAACATTTGCATAAGTAAGTGCATTTCTCGAACAAACAGCACAAACCAGTGGATTGCCTGCAAAAGCCTGTTACTTGTTGAAAATCCTTATTTTATCTCTCAAAAGCAAATCTTTATGTCATTATCCTTGTGTTTATAGTCAAAATGTTTAGTCATGTTATCAATATAACAGTGTACTCTGTAAGTGTTTTCTGATGTAAACTATGGCTAATGTTTTGATGACAATAATTGAAAATGCACAAGCCTGCATATTTTCAATATGTCATTTTTGATTTTTGTCAATTTCAAAACAGTGTCAAAACAGTATAAAGTTAAACATTTCAAGAGATTTGGACAGGATTCACAGTTACGTTTTTACTGTTCGTAGTATAGCCTAATTTGTTGACAGACCATGTCATTGTGATACAGAAAAGGAAAAGAAAGGACTGTTTTACAGCACTGCATTGCACAACTGAAGAAATTACAAAATTAGAAATATAAGTATGTGAAACTCTCCTTAGGCTGATGTTCCTGTGTTGCTACTGTTGTATGTTGTGATTTGTTGTTGTCTATTCTTATTTTGTCTATGCACCATGGTCTGCACTAAAGAACAATTTGTTCAGCTGTATACTTGAATGCGAAGAATTACAATAAAGTTCGACTTTGTTTAACTTTGATTTTGACAACATGTTCAGCCATTTTGCATG